CGAGCAGTATACTCAGCATGAGCAGTATACCCGACACAAGCAGTATACTCGGTACGAGCAGTATACTTGGTACGATCAGTATACTCAGTACCGAGCACTCTGAGCAATCCTCTGCTCATGTATATAGCAAGTAGACATGCTGCCCTTATGGCATCGTGTTCAACCTCGTCAATCAACTTTGTTATTGGAATCTCACTTGCTCTCGAGCCAGACAGTATACTCTGTACTAATCATTGCAACCAGTCGCCACGGTCTTTGACTAGACGACTACCTGACTATTACGAAGGCTACTACCGCCTCACCCGGATAGTCTACCCCTGACCACCCGAGCTTTGCTTAGGTGACTGTCAACCTACGGCTTTCTGTACCTCTGCTCATCCCCGAGAAGCAATCGAATAGTGTCTACGAGCTTTGCTCAAGGCACGAATCGCAACACTCACTTTCACGGGTCGGCTAAGAAGTTCACCATGGTTATCAAAACCACAAGATTGATTGAGACTGTTTGTGTGGACGACGCGGCCTCTTGGAGGTCCCTTACGGAGCGAACATTCCAGAGGATAATATCAATAAAACAGATTGTAAAATTCCATGTAGTTAATGAGATTTCTGGCGCAATTTAAGATCTTGTCCACACGAACGAGCTGCGACACATTTCAATCATCTTTGTTCTTCTATTCACCGAAACGTGACGGTTCGTGCTTAGACTTAAGGTCTTTTTCAAGCTTCCCTAGCTGCTATGGCGCATTCTGGTGAAGGATAGCAAGGTCCCATTGAGAGCAGCACAGAACTGGGTCTCAAACCATAAGTCTTGACAGTTAAGAATTGTTCTTCGCGGTATATACAACATAATATCGGCAAGGGTCAGATCGCGTTGGAAGCTCACAAGGGTACTTGGTTGTTGCGAACATCATATTTAGGAAGGGCTTCATGACCATGGACGACAGACACACTTGTAACTATCTCAATAAGAAGTAATTCGCAATCGTGCCGTGCAGTAGCCCGAGTTACGACAAATCCTACGCAAGCAATCGTATGAGATTCAGCAAAGCCTCAGCATAGAATATCAGATATCGAAGCTATGCCATTTGTGTAATTAGATCTTCATCTGTCTGGACTCGACAGCAACCTGCGATCAGCAGACCAGTCAACCAAAACAATCCGAGTTGTCATCTGTCAGATACCTAACAGACAATTCATTTATCGTTATACCACCGCACACGTGGAACGACATCGACGTAGAGACTTGACGTTGGAAAGGAACCCAAATGTTAACTTTCCACAAATGACGAGAGATTCTAGATACTACTCGAGCCTGTGAGGGGGAAACGCACACAAGAGTCTAGCTTATCCTATTCCAAGACGAGCAGTTCTCGTAGGTCGGAGTTCTTCTTCAGAAGTTTGCAGTCTTCCTTATGGCCCTTCTCAATCCAGCCAGTCTTCTGACAGACCTTGCAGCAAGATATCAGTCTTTCTTCAGGATAAGAGGATTTCTTTGCAGTCTTACACTGTCACAATACCAGAACAGAGAGCATCTCCCACACCGCTGCGACAGCGCCGCCTTCTTGCCACACCCGTTGCACGTTTTGATGCCCTTCTCATCAATCGAAAACTGTTGAATCCGGTCACTCAGCTCCAGCAACCCATTCAGTGGCACTGGGAAAATCTTCATAGCGCTCAAATCGTCAGGAATTTTGTAAGAACATCGCAAGCGGGGATGACACTTGCGTACCTTGAGCATCCAAGGATCCACGTGATCAATGCCGGGATTACCGTATACAAAGGCACGGCGCTTTGCGTATAGAACTGCGACTGTATGTCCCTCTCGAATGTTCGTACTTTCCAATTCGTTGCCTCGACCATCAGTGTTGAAGTGTAAAGGAAAGCTCTCCTGGTCGATATCTACGAGCTCGAATTCTAGATGATAGAGTGTGATTGAATTGATGATCTCTCCGACTAAGCACCAGTGATGTGAGGATCAGTAGGGATCTTTGAAACTTTCAAGCACACCCGATTCAATCCTGCTTTTATGCGGGAGGTTTGCACAGCAATTATGCACCTTGCCAGGGTAAATGCACCCTTCATTCTACTCCAGGGCGCTATCCTATCCAGCCCTTGGCTCAGTTTTGTGTTAGGGATAGTATATACATCCTCCTGCATGCACGTTGTGACGTAGCCCAAGTCGAGTTAAACTCTTCAGGGTTACTGACTGATTATACTGCAACTTTACACTCTGGTACAGTAACATCCAAAGCGTCAATTACACTAAATCTCATAACAATCGGTTTAGGGTGTCGTGAGATATTCTAGGGGGAACCATAGTGAATGTGGTGTTCGTGAAGGTGGGGCATGGCTAGCCTAAATATCCTCGACATGGTTTAATGAAGACGCTGACGACGACAACTTCCACCATGGGCAGTTTACCCACGTCATGGGCAGATTTATGTGTAATAACAATACCTGTGGAAAACGGTTTTGGGATAGCAGGAAGGTGCCCATCGAGATAAGAGGATACAACGACAACGGGTACAGCGCAATTGTGTGTAACCAGAGGTGCAAGTCCTGCGACCGGCTAGGCACTTTTGAGCTGAATGAATGATCCTATATCGAAAGGGTCGCACATCGGCTCAAAAGATGGGCAGGCGTGGAAGTGCGGGCGCCACCTTTCAATGGAATTGACGGCCCACCACACGAGCGGGCCTGTTGCAAAGGCTGTAAAAGAGGTAAATGTCGAGAGGGAGATGGGTCTGAATTGAATTAGACGTTCCGAGTCCGCGTCTATGTTCATGTCGACAATTGGCTACTTTGCATCTGTGTTTGAGGTGTTTGAGGTGTTTGAGGGCCGGCAAAATGTCCAGACGTAGGGACCAAGGGCTTGGGGAAGTATGATCAGCATGAAAATAGGTTGAAGGCGTACTGTGTCTGTGCGCGTGCCGCCCGTGTTCGCGTGCCGCCCGCCCCAACCACCTCACAGCTCAACTAAAAATGAGGCTCTACAGCTACCCACAATAGCTATTATCATGAGATTTCTTGGTGGAGTACTATAGTGATGCTTGCGATCAAACTGTCTCATATATATCTACTCGGCCAATTGATGTTGCGGCCACTGGCGGACTGTTTGGGTGGAGGAGCCGGAGGAGCCACAGGCTCAGCTACACTACCTATAGCAGCCCCAGCACCACGATTCTGCTTTTTTCTTGCTCCTTGTTGGTGTGAGGCCTTGCGCTTGCCTTTTTGAGGCTTTTGTATAGCTTTCTTGGTGTTGTGAGGTTGCTTATTACCCTCTTTTTGAGCCTTGTGTTCAGCAGCTTCTTTATCCTTTATAGCCTTCAGCTGCGCGCGCTCCTCTCTCCTCTTTTCTTGCACAACTTTCTTCTCAGCATTAAGCCTTTGTTTAAGCAGCTTGTTTGACTCATGTACTGCCCTTCTGTTAGCCTTCTGGGCCTCTTCATCCTTCTCTTCTTGCTCAAATATACACTGAAGGTGTTGTGCCTCATTCACTGACCGAGGAGAGTACCACTGAGTCTTAGCGCGAGTCTCCTTGCGTTGAATAAGTGGCAAAGGTTTGCCCTTCTTAGGCCTGCTCTTTACACCATTGAGAGCGAGCTGCAGGCCCTCTCTCTCTATTTTCAGAAGCTCGTTCTCAACAGAGAGATGGTGAAGGGTTTGCCTCAACTTCTTTGCCTCATCTGTACTTGGGTCCTTTACCAAATGCCGCCAAATCTTGTCAGTACTTCGCCATTCTTCTCTGCTATTAGCTGACGGTATAACAGCTCTTTCAGCTTCAGGTCTGGGGAATTGATCAAGTATAATGTTGGGGTTGAGCGGTACTAGACCAGTTGCTTTGAAGGAGCTGAGTATCAGCTTCTTGGTGAAGGTGTTGACCCAGGCCTCCCAGAAAAGCTTGAAGAAGTCACCCTTCTTGAAAGGGAGTAAGCCTTGGCTTTGGCAAAGGTGTTTGGTGAGCGCTTTGCTGTAGTTTGATGCCAACGGGCTGAAGCATACTACATCAAGCGGCTGAAGCGTGTGGGTACTGTGTGGAGGGTAGATAGCTAGCAGGATTC